CTTGTGAATGTGGGAGCAGCCGACCGTCAGCAGGCTCATGATGATGTTGAGATGAGTGGGAGAGCAGCAGCTGATCCAAGTCCTCCTAAACAGCAAAAACAACGGAGTTTTAAAGGAAAATTCAGCTTTTTACAACTCTGGCCTCATTCATGTTGCAGTAAAGCAGTTATGTTAGCAGCACAGCGCTCTGGATGCTAAAGTTGTCCCGTTTCTGTTCCCCTCAGGATGAACTGGGATAACTCTGGTCATCCTCTGACTTTCTGTTTAGCGCCATCCTCAGGTCAACTCTGAAACGTGGACGCAGTCTCCAAGATGTCAACGCAGACTTCTGAAGAGCCGTTGTGGAGCTCAGGGAGGGCGCTCCCATGCCTCGCCATCTAGAGGGGAAAACCACCAACCCGTTCTCACTCCCAAGTCATGTGGACGCATGGTCAAACCCGGTGGCGTCAGTTTGTAACGCACTGTTGTAGTTCAACGCAGTGAGGGAAACCCTGCAGTTTCACTTTTGAACACTAAACGTAGGTGTAGGAGAGTGAACAGAAAAGTCACAGTAAGGAGGTGGTTGCGGTGGACGGTGTTCATGTCCCGTGTGAACACTGAATGTTTTTACATAATAATGTCACAAAACCGACGAATGCAACGTAGTTATTTTAACCCTGATCTTTTCCTAACCAAAATGCAAAGTTTCACTACTACGTTGCTTAGTTATCGTTGCTAACTCGACAGTGGCGCTGTAAACGCCGAAAGACAACGCTGAAGGGCATCCAGGGCGTTAAAAAGCGACGCCAAGGGAACTCGACCAGCGTCCAGTTGTGATGAGTTGGGAATGAGAATGTGTTCCACCCACCTGTCACTCAATTGGCCACGAACTTAAATATTCATAACTTTAAACAGGTGAGTTATGAAATTCCACATTAGCATGCTAATGCTAATGCTAATGTGGAAAACATTGTACCTGCTAAAACAGGAGCATGTTAGCATTTAGTTCAAAGTTATGAGTCAATACTGCCTCTGATTCATTACTTATCGGTAAATCTGGGTCTGATTTTATTTATTACTTTACATACTGCTGGTTTGTGAACCAACCCGGGGATCAATAAAGTCATACCCATAATCTATTTGTTGATTATATTTCATGCTAGTAATCTAAATCGGGTGTAGTGGCTATTTGTCCATAAACTTAAACAAAACAAATAATAACAAACTTCTCAAATGGCCACTTGAGGCTACGTCATGGTTGGGCTTTACGCAGGTTCAGAGGTACCAAAGCAAAGTGATGTCCATAACAAGACTGAGTTTGAGGAGGTTTATTCACACACATAAGCAAGCTTACAGACATTTCTGCTGCCTCTCTCACGCTGGTAAAAAACCATATGCCCTCGTGCCTGCAGCACCTCTCACCTTGACCTACTTATGCAAATGAACATAACACCATGTGACCAACAAACGACAATACAAGTAAAGCATAAATACAAAATAACCAAATTAACTTTAACAAGAAAAGAAATAAATTAGACTATAAATTAACTTAAGCCCAAATAAACAAAAATAAGAATATAGCTCCAACATCGGGAAACTAACTAGTTACTTCAGTTGTAAAATAAATGGGTAGGGCCTAATACAGTGAGGAAGATAAGTATTTGAACACCCTGCTATTTTGCAAGTTCTCCCACTTAGAAATCATGGAGGGGTCTGAAATTGTCATCGTAGGTGCATGTCCACTGTGAGAGACATAATCTAAAAAACAATATCCAGAAATCACAATGTATGATTTTTTAAAACTATTTATTTACAGCTGCAAATAAGTATTTGAACACCTGTCTATCAGCTAGAATTCTGACTCTCAAAGACCTGTTAGTCTGCCTTCAAAATGTCCACCTGCACTCCATTTATTATCCTGAATTAGATGCACCTGTTTGAGGTCGTGCGGGTTTCCAGGCAGCTCAGAAGAATCTGAAGTGAGGAACCGGCGCCACCTGCTGGAACAAACCTCAGCACAACAACAAAACACACAGGAAATATACATTTAACAAGATGATGTATAAATAACATGAACAACAAATAGAGAGTTACTTATTAAAATATACTAAAATATATTTTGGAAGCTAGAAGGTAATAAGATGTGAGAAACAGAATATTACCAATATTAATGATGTGAGAAAACAATAAATAAACTAGCATTTTATTTATAATTATTTACAGTTGTTGTCACTGCAATATGAAGTGAGGAAAAGTTTTCCATCAAACAACAAAGGTCTTAATTATATGAGAACAAATTAAAAAGAATATTAATTGGTAACTATTTTGTTAATCGATCGAAGTTATTTTACAAGCAAAACTTTTTTTTTATCTGACATTGTATTTATTTATTTTATAAGACAATTTGCACATTAATGAAAAATGACAATAATCGTTGCAGCACAAGTCTTAATGTTTAATGAGGAAACCTGCAAATTAAAAGTGAAACAGGCAGAAAATCATTTATGAATCAATTTAAAATGAATAATTAAACTTTTCAGCAGGGTGTGCGCGCGCAGAGTCAGAGGGGTGGGTCCTCTCTGGTCTCCATGGGAACGGGATCAAACACGGAAGTCTGCTGCAGGTAAACAAAACAAACAAACCTCTGAACTCACCTGTTTATTTCACCGAAACCAGTTCATTTAAATCATCTTTTGTGGGACGACGCTTCGTCTTCGTCTTTTATCGGACGCAGACATTTTTAGTCTCGTTATTTTCCGTCAGTTTCTGTCACTCGATCAGCTGATTAACGGTTAAACAGCCGGTAGATAAACCGGTTAGCGGGTTATTTAATGTGATTTTCCTGTTTAATGCGCGACTGGACTCATTAAAAGTCATCTAAAATACCGTGTTTCTATTATCGGACATCCTCGCATTAAGTTGACACAAGTTAACTTTCAGGATCCGGTTACAACTTAACAAAATAAAATTCTTTCTCCACATGAACATTTTTCAAAATAAAGAGTGGAGAGTGAAGCGGTGGCAAAACCTTTAATATCTACTGTTATAATATAATTACATGTTGTTTTATAATTTATAATATAATTTGAATATAAGCACGGACTGATATATCTCCTTATATCTACATTAATATTTTAGATTTGCATCAGTGCCATGTCGGCTCTACCTGCACTCAGTATTACTAATCTAATTTACAAATACTTCATTACATTTCTGTTCAGACTGTAAAATACTGTACTACACTGCTTTTAGATTTTAAGATTTGGATATTTTGTCATATTTTTGTTATCTATTTCTTAATATCTTGATATGCAAAGTGAGAAATCTTTACGAAATAATTTGTTAAAATTAGACTCTAACAAACTGTTAACTGTTGGAAAGTAACTAACTACAGTATTTTTACTGCATTTCAATTTAATTTGGAGTATTATGCCACGTTATGCTTCAACCCCACCAGATGTCAAAGGCAAATATTGTACTTTTTACTGCTCTACATATATTTGACAGCTTTTTGGCTTTGCAGATTAAGATGTTACATTAAAAAAAATCTGATCTTATTAAATACAACAGATTATTATTAAGCCTTTTTGCCTTTTACTGATTTGCATATTGGTTCCTCCACAGTGCACATACAAAAAACATCATCCAGGACGACGTGTTTATATTTCACTGTCAGGCAATATTTAAAACTCCTAATACAGGACGTGCAAATCACTGAGGTGAGGGAAGAGAAGCAGCTAAGATGACACTGTGCTGCGTTCAGGTGCAAACTGAAGACATAGAAAGCACATACAGAGTATAAATACATAAATTAAATACTAGCATGCTGAAACAATCATTCTTTGTGCTGTAAAATAATAATAATAATAATAATAATAATAGTATTTGTTGTTATTACTACTAACAGTACTTGTTGTTCAGTCTGGGCTCCTGGTGAACCTGTCCTCTGTTCCACAGGTGAGCTGACAGGATGCTGAGGTTCAAGGAGGTGGAGTCAGGCCAGGCTCCGCCCCCTGGCAGCTGCGGCCTGGTTGCTAAGCGGTACAGCATCCTGCAGAGTCTGGGCCGGGGGAGCTTCGGCTCGGTCTACCTGGTTCAGGACTCCAGAGCTGCAGACGGAGAAGAGCTGTGAGTACATTCACTTTTTATTTGACAGGCCTTTCCTCCGGCCGAGCCGATCTGGTCCCGGTGCTGCTGGTTGCTTTGTCTCTATGTGAAAGAACAACCGAGTCCAAACACGTCAAAATCTTTTCCCACTTGATCCTCACGGCTCCAGCATCGTTCATAATCCCAAGAAAAAACCTCCAACTCAGTTCTTTCTCACCAGAAAGTGCAAAAGATCGAAACTCGGGGCCTTTCTCAACCCGTGTTCCCGTCTGTACTTGTGTTCTTGTGAAACGTCTCTTTTGTGGCCAAAGTTCTGTCCCAGTACACAAGTCTGCATTTTGGCAAGAAAGGTTAAAATTCCCAGAAGTGTTCTTGACACGCCCATTTATCCAGGATGCATCGGCTGGTAACTTGTGTGAACTTGGAGAGAAATCAACTGTGTAGATGTCGAATATTGGCAGTTTTAGTGAAAATGATGGACAATTTAGGGTCAGTGAGCTCTTCTAGTTACAAACAAACACAGTGAACGAGTGAATTTACAGTGTAAGAGACAAACTGAGAGGATCCTGTCAGACGTTTTAACAGGAGACGCGTCACTTAAAGAATCCTGAAGAGAATCCTGTGACGCCCAAGATGGCGGCTGTATGCACATGTCCCGCCCCCTCCAGCAGGAATCCCAAAAGTCTGCGTTTAACAGCTGAGCCAGGAAGCATAATCAGCCAATCGTGTGGCTCCACTGGCTTAAGATGATGTTGTGGCGGCGAGGAGCAGGCATGTGACCTGATCAGATGCGCTACATGACCGCCAAAATCCTGCGTGACAAGGCTCCAGATTTGATTTGCAGTACTTATGAAACACATGGGCTCCTTCTATAAACGTATACGATGCCATAACCTCAGTTAGCTTAGCATTTGTTCTGATGAGCTCATGGCGTCCCGTCCCCGGCGCTCTGCATGGAGCCGTAAATGAAGGCGCTGTGGTGAAAGCTTGTGCATGTGTGGTATAATAAAATATATAAGTATAAAAAACACTTTTTAAACCTTTATGATGGGGGAAAGTCATCAAACTGTGTCAGATTCACCTGCTCATTCTCTACATGCAGGTTTTATGGCTCTCTGCTCGCAACAAACTACTATTTTCATTGTTGATTATTGTTATGCATCTATAAATTGTCGATCAGTGCTTCCTGAAGCTCAACATGACGTCCTCGCATGTCGCGTTTAGTCCACAACCAAAAATATTCAGGTATATATTCAGGTTTCTGTCTCAGAGGAGGAAAGAAACCAGGAAAAATTCACATTTAAGAATCAGAGAATTGTTATTTTTATATTCTTGAAAAATGACTAATGGATTATCAAAATATTTGGTGAGTAATTTAATAGTTGACAACTAATCAATGAATTGTTTCAGTTCTGTTATTTCTTACTGCTACAGCTGTGTCTCACTGTGTGTTTTGGAACACACACATTTATGTCTGAAGAGTGATTTTACTTCCAATAAGCTGCTTTATCTCTAAACAAACGTCCATAAATGAGCCTGTCAGGCCATCGGGGGGGAACCGTCTGCAGAGCGTCACCAGGTGGCAGCATCGACCTGTAAAACACACACACACACACACACACACACACACACACACACACACACACACACACACACACACTCTCTCTCTCTCTCTCTCTCTCTCTCTCTCTCTCTCTCTCTCTCTCTCTCTCTCTCTCTCTCTCTCTCTCTCTCTCTCTCTCTCTCTCTCTCTCTCTTCCAGTTAAAACCATGTATCTCCAGATTTTGAGTGTGTTTGTGATAAACTGCAGCATGAATTGTTCCTTCATGAGTTAAAAAAAACTCTCCTACTTAAATAAATAAAATCAATGTGTTTATGTAGCTGCTTATTTATGTATTTATTCATGAATAAGTCATTTTGTGGCTTTGACTCTACGGACTCCTGGCTGAAACTGGCGCTCACCCATTCAGAACCTGGTTATGGTGGACATGGCTGCTGATGTCCCGATCAGAGTCCTGTAATGTTGATTATCTGCTGATACTGAGTCCGATCTGATAACTATATTTACCCAAACATTGAATAAATGTCTGACACACTGAAATAACAGCTGTAGATACTAAACATGACATACCAGATTATTTAGAGAGGATGTCTCGCTCTGTTGGAGTTGTTGAACTCTGGAAAAATTAGTTTGTTTGTGGAGTGAAGCTTCTTCCCTCATAGAGGATTTTTGGTGAAGTTCAGACTCAGAACAAAAGTTAACTTGTCTGTTGTTGGTTTCTGTCACCAAGTTTCTCACTGAACTAACACAAAGACAGAAAAAGGGACGAAGCTCTCCCACTTGACGTGATGCATGCTGTACTTAACAAAAGGCATGCTGGTTAGAAAATGTCCGACATGACATTAAACCAGCTGCAGGCGCTGAGTCCGGGGACCACAGGTAGAATGTCTCCGACTTAACAGCGCTGATTTTAAACCCCGACCCTGCAGTCGCCTGCCACTCATCTCGAAAAGAGGCAGCAGCAGAGGGGCGGTAGAGGGGCGCGGCAGCAGCAGAGGGGCGGTAGAGGGGCGCGGCAGCAGAGGGGCGGTAGAGGGGCGCGGCAGCAGCAGAGGGGCGGTAGAGGGGCGCGGCAGCAGCAGAGGGGCGGTAGAGGGGCGCGGCAGCAGCAGAGGGGCGGTAGAGGGGCGCGGCAGCAGCAGAGGGGCGGTAGAGGGGCGCGGCAGCAGCAGAGGGGCGGTAGAGAGGCGCGGCAGCAGCAGAGGGGCGGTAGAGAGGCGCGGCAGCAGCAGAGGGGCGGTAGAGGGGCGCGGTAGCAGAGGGGCGGTAGAGGGGCGCGGTAGCAGAGGGGCGGTAGAGAGGCGCGGCAGCAGCAGAGGGGCGGTAGAGGGGCGCGGCGGTAGAGGGGCGCGGCGGTAGAGGGGCGCGGCGGTAGAGGGGCGCGGCGGCAGAGGGGCGGTAGAGAGGGGCGCGGCAGCAGCAGAGGGGCGGTAGAGAGGGGCGCGGCAGCAGAGGGGCGGTAGAGAGGGGCGCGGCAGCAGCAGAGGGGCGGTAGAGAGGGGCGCGGCAGCAGAGGGCGGTAGAGAGGGCGCGGCAGCAGAGGGGCGGTAGAGGGGCGCGGCAGCAGAGGGGCGGTAGAGGGGCGCGGCAGCAGAGGGGCGGTAGAGAGGCGCGGCAGCAGAGGGGCGGTAGAGAGGCGCGGCAGCAGCAGAGGGGCGGTAGAGGGGCGCGGCAGCAGAGGGGCGGTAGAGGGGCGCGGCAGCAGCAGAGGGGCGGTAGAGGGGCGCGGCAGCAGCAGAGGGGCGGTAGAGGGGCGCGGCAGCAGCAGAGGGGCGGTAGAGGGGCGCGGCAGCAGCAGAGGGGCGGTAGAGGGGCGCGGCAGCAGCAGAGGGGCGGTAGAGGGCGCGGCAGCAGCAGAGGGGCGGTAGAGAGGCGCGGCAGCAGCAGAGGGGCGGTAGAGGGGCGCGGTAGCAGAGGGGCGGTAGAGGGGCGCGGTAGCAGAGGGGCGGTAGAGAGGCGCGGCAGCAGCAGAGGGGCGGTAGAGGGGCGCGGCGGTAGAGGGGCGCGGCGGTAGAGGGGCGCGGCGGTAGAGGGGCGCGGCGGCAGAGGGGCGGTAGAGAGGGGCGCGGCAGCAGCAGAGGGGCGGTAGAGAGGGGCGCGGCAGCAGAGGGGCGGTAGAGAGGGGCGCGGCAGCAGCAGAGGGGCGGTAGAGAGGGGCGCGGCAGCAGAGGGGCGGTAGAGAGGGGCGCGGCAGCAGAGGGGCGGTAGAGGGGCGCGGCAGCAGAGGGGCGGTAGAGGGGCGCGGCAGCAGAGGGGCGGTAGAGAGGCGCGGCAGCAGAGGGGCGGTAGAGAGGCGCGGCAGCAGAGGGGCGCGGCGGCAGTTGTAAACTACTGTCTCCTTCCTGTCAGTGTCTCTCTGCTATGCTCTGTCGCTTCCTCACTATCCGTGACACACAGACAGACTCGGTGTGTTTCAGCTGTCTGACTCTGGATGGGAGTCGACAGGATTTACTGAACGCTGAGGCTTCATTTAGAGAGACAGCAGGCTGCTTCCTCTCTAGTTTTCAGTTCAGTGTGCTGCATGAATGTTGAGGTTAAACCACGTCGCCAAAGCAGTTTGCAGCAAAGTCTCAAGGTTTACATTTGGAGTAGAACAAGAATTAACACAATCAGCTTCCGTTTAGCAGTTGTGTTACAAACAGATGTAATCTGCCGTGCAGCGAAACACTCAGTGCTGCAGCTGTCCCTCAGGTTGGGACACAGGGATTTCATTTATTGTCATCTTCTTTGAAATCTGGTTTTAATAGATGGAATTTCTGAAAATATTGCTCTCTTATGTTTGTATATTTGTCACATTTCACCTGTCCTACAGAGCTCACCGACTTTTTATCTCCCCTGTTTCAGCTGCAGGTCACTGAGTCTGTACTCGGTAAGAAGCTGCCTCTGACAGCAGAGACATTCAGACATTTCAGAATCTCTGCTTAGGACCAGAAAACAATCTAGTTTCTGTTGTTTTTTTTCCTCCCAATGATCCAGATAATGTTGGTTTTCTGGTGTTTGTAAAGTTGGCCTCAGACAGTGTGTGTGACATGTTGCAGGATTTGTTAGTCTCAGGACTAGCTGGCATGAGGGACTCTTTTCAGGGTTCAGCTCTGGGGTTTGAAAGCCTTAAATCGGAGGGAGTCTTCAGGACTTGATCTGAGGTGCATCTGAAAGTTTAGTGCTCCGTTTTGGGGATCTGTTTATCAGTGGAAACCGCACTAATTCTGCCCTACATGCATTTGTGTTGGTGAAGTCAGTGGTGGAAGAAGTATCTTTAATAATGTAATACCACAGTATAGAAATACTGTTACAAGTACAAGCATTCAAAATGTAACTAAACTAATAGTCACTAAAAATATATTTAAAGTACCAAAAGCCCATTTCAGAATAATATAATTTATAATTACTGTACATAGTGCTGGTAGCTTGATCCATAATAATAATCATTATAATTTATTAGTTAAATGTTAGTATTAA